GACAGCAGTGGGACATGCCTATTCATCATACAGGTTCTACTTGGGGAACTGCTGGCCTGTGGCACCAGGGCACCAGCCATGGGCCCTTTGCAAGGGCTGAGGGAAGATGACGCGCCCAGGTTGTACAGCAGGCTAGTGAGCAACTACTGTCTGCTGACTTGTGGCCTGAGGACAGGGCTCCTGGTCAGCCAGGCCATCCTGTGTAGCTCAGGACCTCCCTGAGAGCAGCTGTGTGGCTCTGGGCTTTCAGTCTACCTCTCTGAGCTTCAGCTGCCTCATCTGTGAATCAGGGAGGGGCAGAAAGGAATTCCCTCCTGTCTGGGAACAGCTGGGTGCCCTTCAGCCAGCACCCCACCCCCCCACCCCACTGGAGATCTCAGGGCCTCCAGCCAGAGCTGGGAAATAAGCGGAGTTCCTGCAGATGTGGGCATTCCCCCATTAAGAATCTGCTGGGCACTAGGGCCCTGTGAGTGGAGAATGGGATATCCTTGCCCCTTAGCTGGAAAGTTTCTGTTGGAAGGAGTTCTGAGCTAAAAATACTGGTAAGCTGCTGGACCACAGACTCTAAATGCCTGCTGAAGCTCAGTACGTGCTGCCTATAAGTTGATGACTCCCACCTCCTGTGTGTGGCCCCCACCCTACCACCTGTCCCACTCAAAGCATCTCCCACCTTACAGGGCCAGAACCTGACTCTGGTTCTCTCTGCCAAAGCAGCTCCCTTCTGGGCCATCTCCAGCTTGGCAAGTCTCCCTCTTCCTTCGCCCCACACAGTTGCTTTAGGTCAGGACTACTTCCCACACAGCCACTGGTAAGAGACACTGGTGCTCCCTCCAGAACATAAAACGAAAGGAATGACTCGCCACCCCTTCCTGCGGCATCTCCTGGTATCTCCTTTGGGGTACCGGCGCCAGCCTAATCACATGCCTCCCACCCCAACTCCCACTTCCCTCCCAGCAGTCAGGGTGGTCCTTTTCAATTATGTTGAGGTGTAAGATGCATACAGAAAATTGCATGGAGCATCAGTATGGACCCGTTTTCATAAGCTGAACACACCTGTGTGACAGAGAACCAGGGCAATCTGATCTGTCACTGAACAACACAAATGCCCTGCCTGGAGCCATCCTGTGGTCCCCTCCCTCAGCTCCCACTGAGCTCAAGTCCAGATGCCTTCCTCTGATGCTACCCCGCCCCCAAGCTCTAGGCCATGGTGCTACATTCCAGGCTCTGCTGATGAACACAGTAGGCTGTTGCCACATTTGCCTATGTTGTTCCTCTCTCGCAGATCCAACACTACCTCCTCTCTGCCCACTCAGAACAAAGACACTGTCATTCTCCCTTTTTCTCCTGGCCAACTTCACTGCCAGCAACACCTGCCTGCAGTTTAATCAGCTCGCTTCCCACCCTGCGTGAATGTCAGCCCCGAAGGACCACAGTGTGTCCTTCTTGCTCACCCAGGGACCTGACCTAGTGCTAGGCACACAGGAAGCACTCCAGAAACTCCACGGCACAAATAAGTGTGCCAGAGCAGCTGGTATCAGCTGGTATTGGAAAATTCAGCGTGAGGCCAGCAACAGGCCACAGCAAGGGGTCCTCTCACGACCTGAGCCTCTGTGAGGGACTCGGGCCCCACAACCTATGTGGAAACAGGGAGCTCCACTCACCCAGTTCTCCGTCTTCCTGGCCCTGCGCTCCAGCCCCTTCTGCAGCCGCTCCCCGACACCCCCCGAGGTCTGAAACTCTTCCACCAGCTGCTTGGTTTGGGTCCACTCCTCCTCGCTCACAATGGGCTGCAGTGCCTTGAGGTAGCGGTCCAAGGACTGCTGAAGCGCAGGCACGGGCAGTCGAGGCAGCGAATCCTGGTGTGCCTTGAAGCGGCTGGAGACCTTCATCAAGGAGGAGGGCTTGAGGAAGCCCAGGGGCTTCACCTGCAGGCAGCAGAACATCTTGCTCATTGTCTCACTGACCCTGGAAGGCCCTGGCAATCCTAAAGCTCCAGTCCTGGGCACTTATGTGCCAATCCTTGGGGTCAGAGACAGCCTCTTGGGTGGTGCCTGCCTGGCTTCCCAGCCCTCAAACTTTAGGTGTCTCCACCTCTCTGGGGCCTGGAGATGCAGGTAGGGAGAGGGTAGGGGGGTGTGGCCACCCATCCTGGTAAGGCTCTGGGGAACCAAGTCAGGATAAATGGCACCTGTTGGGGGTGGCAGAGCTGAGAGTGACCTCTCACCTGTCTGGAAGCAACAAGGCCCCACCTTCTTCACCCTGGCACAGTGAGCCAGCCAGGAGGTAGTGAGGTGACTGCTCCCGCCCAGGGGCCCATACCTCCATTACTCCCACCCCTGCCAAGCTGAGAAATAAGAGGCAAAAAGAGAAAGTCAGAAAGAGCCAGATGATGACAGCATCTTTGGGTGAGGGCCAGGCCTTGGTTTTTATCTGTCTGTGGGATGGGGACAGAGGTGGCATAGGGGCAGCACTGTGGCAAGCAAGAGCTTAATGGCTTGGTAGGTAGGTGAGAGGTGGCAAAGAGAGAAAGTCTGGGAGACTCTGGAGGTGGACAGAAAGAGAGCTAGGAGATCCAAGGCTGCTGGCAGCAGTGGGTAGGTGAGTGGCAGAGGATTGTTCCATACCTTCTCTTTCTGCTGCCCGTCCTCCATGGCAGGACTGAAGTTCTGAGCCCTGTCTGTCTGCCTTGGGCTGGACCTCTAAGCCTAACTGTGCTACCCAGTGGGTGAGCAGAACCTAGCAAGAGACAGCCACTTGCCCGGGCTGGAAAGAGAAGACAAGAGCCAAGATTCAGGGTGGGGGAGGCAGCAGTGGCAGTGGCAATGGCTACGGTGGCTACGGTGGCATCTAAGGTTGTGGCTGTGGCAGGCACCCTCCCTAACAGTCAGAAGTGGAGGATTGGGAAGCAGGTGAAGAGGCTGGTAGTAGGCACTGGAGTGGGAGGAAACGTGGAATATGTTCTCATTTCTTCTCTGGGTGGGCCTAGTGCCAGGGCCAGGAGGGATTTAAAAAATCCACCTGTTGGAATCTGCGTAGGTCTGTTGAATGATGGAAAACTTGGCTGGAGGCAGAAGCTGCCTGGCCGCTGAGGTTACACCATAATCCTGAAGTCAGTTCTGTAAACTGGGGTTGGTGCAACAGAGCAGACACTGGGAAAGGGCCATAAGTGGCCATAAGTGGCAGTTAAGAGCTCATTTTGTTTTCCACCAGGAGGACTCTTGGAGCCCTTCTGGGCTTCCCTTCCACCAAAGCCCGGTTCTCTTGAGCTATAGCTCATTCAGTGGGGAGCCAAGAGTGGACTTCGGGCACTAAAAAATAAACTGGAGGAGGCTGGTTTCAGGATTCTTCTCCATTTGAGTTACCAGGTCCGGGGGATTCCGGCCAAGTCTCTCCTTGCCTTAGTTTTCCCAGCAGTAAACTGATCAGGCCACCCAGTGGTTCCTGGAGGATGACCTAGAAGCTGTCTGTGAGACTGGGGCACCACTCTTGCCGGGTCAGGGGCAAGGGTGACGTGGGGTCCTGGGCTCTGGGAGAGCTGGAAGAGTCTCTGGGCCAAGTAGTGTCTGTTTGGACACCCTTCTTGGCACAGACAGAAGGAAATGCAGGCAGAGATATGCTTGGAGTAGAGAGGAAAGGAACTCAAATCAGAGCGGCAGCACTGCTTGCTGTCCTGTGGGGAGGACTGTGGGGTAGACTTGGACAAGGTGGGGGAGGGACTGGCGGGTAAGAAGGGTGTGGGGCTGCCACCTGCTGCCTCCTGCCCGTTCGGAGGACCTTCAGAGCAGCCCAGCTTGAGGCCTCCACATGAATTTCTCTGGCCACACGAGATTCCCCAAGGGCCATTTGATAAGCTCAAGGAGACTGACCAACTGGATGAGGCTGGAGAAGTGGCTCTAGCCTGGGCATAGATGGCTCAGACTGAGCGTGCGACAGGTGTGCGAGAGAGACTGCCGGTCTCCCGGACCCTTGGCTCTGGGTGTCAGGGAAGGCAGCGTCCCCACTATCCTTTCCGGGTGATTGGAATTTAGGGCCACACGACGTAGGTAGGTTCGGTGCGATCGCTGACCTTGAGCGTCAGTCTCCTCCTCTGCCAAGCAGGGTGAGTCCACCTGCCGGTCCCACCTCAGCAACCGCTGGCGGGGCAGGGCAGTGGCCCCTCGGCCTTGTCGCCCCGACGGCCCGCGGCCCCCTTCCGGTGCCGCGGTGGGTCTGGCCCGGCTCGCGGCCGCCCGCCCCGCGCAGCCAGCCCGCCCCGTCCAGGGCCCGCCCGCCCGGTTCCCGGCCGCACTCACCACCGTCCTGGCCGCGAAAGCCAACATCGCTGCGGCCCGCCCGCTCACACACAGTCCGCTCGGTCCTCCGCACCGGCCAAAGTCCGCGCCGCCGCCGCCGCCGCCGCCGCCGCCGCCGCCGCCGCCGCCGCCGGCGGGTCCCCGCTAGAGCCTTCGGGCCAAGGTCGCCGAGTCAGCGCCGCGGGCCGGTCCAGGCGGCCCGGCGCCCACCCACCGGGCCGGGCGGGCGGCGGGCTGGGGGCCCCCGGGAGGAGGACTCTCGGGGCGGGGCCGCCAGCCGGTTGCAGGCTCCGGCCGCTAGCGGCGAGCGCGGGGCGGGACCAGGGTGCGGGAAGGGACGGGGCGGGGCCGAGGGCTCAGTTTGTGGTCGCCAGATCCCCTCCGGGCTGTGGAATCCAGGAGGAGGGGCCGAGCCCAGGCCGCCGTCCCGCTCGCCGTCTCCCACCTCCAAACGCTGTCTAAGCCGTTGGAGGCAGTAGTGTGCACCCCTCTCAGCCCCTTTGGTGTCCTTGAGCGCTACTCTCAGAGCGGCAGGAAAACACAGCCATGTCAACAAGGGAATGTCCTCTACTGTGCCTCGGGATAGGGCCAGAGATGACAGCTGGGGAGCGCCCCGCACAAACATGGCTGCCGCCCTCCCCACCGGCCCGCGGGCCGTTGGCTGCTAGGGAGGCGAGCCGGCCGTTGGTGCGCATGCCCCCAGCTGCCCCGCACCAATATGGCCGCCGCCCTCCGGTGAGTGCCGCAGCCGCGAGCCGGCAGTTGCTGGGCATGCTCCCTGAGTGCCCCGCACCAGCATGGCGGCCGTCTTCACGGGGGTGACTTTAATTCTCGGTTTTCGGTTATAGCCGGCCGGTGCTTCTTTTTCTTCAGAAAGCTCTGAGCGCCTGGTGGAACCGGGGAAAGGGAGGGTGTCCGGGGGTGAAAGGTGAGACCCCCTCAGGCATCCGGACCGGCTCCTGGCGGGAGGAAGATGGCTGAGGGTGAGCGGCAGTCGCCGCCAGGTAGGACGGGCCGGGCCGGGGTGGGGTAGGGGCGCGGGGGCGGGGGAGGGGTGTGGTACTGGGGGGCGGCGAGGTGGCGGCGGGGGCGGGAGGTGGAGGTGCCCGAGCGGCAGAAGCTGCTGGACCCCGGGGAGGACGTGCTGGGGGGATCGGGGGGCCGGGCTAGATCACGGGGCTGCGAAGGGGTGGTGGGTGGGGCGCAACATCCGGACTTGGGGAGCCCCGGGTGCCCAAGGGCCAGGCGCGCAGTGCTGTGGCCAGAGGGCGAGGCCTCTTCCACATTTGGGGTGCGCGTGCTGCGGTGAGCTCTGGAGCTGGTGGGGAATCTGCCAGGGACGGGGGCGAAGGTGATTCTGGGGGCTGCCCTTGCCCTGGAGGTGAGGGGTGGTGCTCCGTGGGCCGGGCCCGCCCCCGCCCCCGCCCCCACCCCCACCCCCTTTCCAGACTCCCCTGCACCCTGCCCACCTACGCTCTTTCCCTCTTGGAGGCGGGGCAGTCCAGTTTTCTTTCCGTGGCTGCAAATTTATTGAGAGAAACGGCCTTTGGTTGTGTAAACCACTAATTTAAAAAAGCTGGTTGTGCAAGAGGAGTCTCTCCCTGGCATCACCGTCTGTAACTTTTCTTTGCACCGTGGCCTCACTTTGCTTCATCTCCAATAACTGGGATGGAAGTACCAGAGAAAGGATCTTCCTATATAGAGCCCTGTTTCCTGGAGAAGGGGAAGGCTGTTTGCTGACATCACTGAGCCCACACCGAGCTAGGAAGGACTGACCCTAGATAATTCAAAGTCCTGATAGGGCGAGTAAGTTGACCAAACACAGCTAATGTTTTGAAAGCATTGGATATTCCTTCTAACTGTCTTGCTTTTTGGGATCTCTGGAAAGGCCTCAGGAAGGAGAAATTATGAAGAACAAAAAAGGCATCCACACCCCCCCCCCCTTTCCCAAATAGATTAACAAAGAACTGGGTATGGACTCTTAGGGCCTTTGAAACCAGGCATTTACTTCATTTAATACAAAACTTATGTGCCTATGCCCTTGGAAGTTCTGGTAATGCCTGTGAGAGATATAAGCCAACCAGAATTCTCAGTGAGATGAATATTTCTCCAAAGTTGGGTGGTTGAGGAGGCAGCCCATGCACTAAAAGAGATGAAAGCTCGAGGAAGATATCTATGGCTGGAAAGAGCCAGGTCCCTGGAGGTGGTCCTTCTTTGCAGTTTGAAACAGGACATTTTGGAACAAGTAGAAAGAACCACTTCACTCAGTGTGGTGGTGATAACCTTGGATTTTAGAGTTGTACAGACCTGGCTCTGCCTGGCAGATCACATTCTCTGTGAGCCCTTTCTTATCTCTGAAAATGGGTATGTTATACTTTCCCCACAGAGTTGTAGTATGTGTTCCATAGATTACGAGGGCAAAACATAGGGCATGAGGGGTAGTCAGGAAATGTTGATTGCTCTTGTCATTTTAAAAGGTAGAACAGGTTGAACCTGTAGGCTGGTTCTCAAACGATAGATGATATTACATTATACATTTAGGGAGTTTTAGGAAACATCTCTAAAACTCTAGATATTTCCATCTTACACTGTGAGCTTGTAGGGTATCCACCTGTCCCATGGCACCTTGTCAGAGATAGAATCTGAGGCTGGAGGGGCTCAGTTATCACAGTCTCAGGTTTTAAGGCTTGGTTCTTTGATTTGAGGATTGCATATTCTGGTAACAACATGTGTATGTTCATTAGTGGTTGTTGCAGTGCTTCCTACAAGGTAGCCATTCCCTTGACACTAGGCCTGGCTTGGAGGGCTTCCCACCTGTGAAATAACTTCAGAAGGGCCGTCTCTTGACAGGGAACTTACTTACAGAAGGGCACTCTGTTCCTAAAGATCATTTGCAAGTTGATTATTTGGAACATGGAACATATTTTCCCATAAAAACAATGAGGTTAGGGGTATGTGGGTGGCTTAGTAGGTTAAGCGTCTGCCTTCAGCTCAGGTCGTGATCTCAGGGTCCTGGAATCGAGACTGAGTCAGGACTCCGCACTCAGCAGGGAGCCTGCTTCTCCCTCTCCTCCCTGCTCCTGCTCTCTCTCAAATAAATAAGTAATCTTAAAAAACAAACCCCAATGAGGTAGGTTACCAGCCTGACCTATATAAAACTTTTTATTTAATAGCATTTTAAGAAAAGATTTTATTTATTTATTTGAGAGACAGAGACAGAGCATGAGCAAGGGGGAGGAGGCAGAGGGAAAGAAAGAAGCGGACATCCTGCTGAGCAGGGAACCCTGTAGGCTGGATCCCCACAGATCATGACTTGAACCAAAGGCAGATGCTTAACCAACTAAGCCACCCAGGTTGGCCTAATTAATAGTGTCTTAAAGTAATTTACTAATAGTAAGGGCCTTAATTTTGGGTTCTGGGAACAGAGCTTGTAGAACAGGTGGGAGGAGGAAGAGAGTTTCTGATTTGGTTTTTGGGCTCTGGTTTGAATTTTGAATTAGGCAGAGGTTTGCCTTGCTTGCTCTCCTCCCAGATTCTCTGTTCTCCTCCATAGGTCTCCAGGTATCATAGCACTTTCTGCTTCCTCAGGGCCTCTTCAGGAATGCTTCAATCTCCCAATTGTCACAAGTTCCAGAACCATCTCAGGCACCTGTCCCCTTTCTCCATGCAGCCAAGTCAGCTAGGTTTTAGGAGGATAGCAGGGGGACAGATTTATTATATGTCATGAGTGACTCTCTTTGGAGAGTTTGTGTGTGTGTGTGTGTGTGTGTGTGTGTTTTAAGAGATTTATCTATTCATAAGAGACACACACACAGAGGCAGAGACACACAGACAGAGGGAGAAGCAGGCTCCCTGCAAGGTACCTGATGTGGAACTCGATCCCGGATCTTGGGATCACATCTGGAGCCTAAGGCAGACGCTAAACTGCTGAGCCACCCAGGCATCCTGAGAGTTTTTTTTTTTTTTTTTTAAGATTTATTTATGAGAGAGAGAGAGGCAGAGACACACAGGAGGAGGGAGAAGCAGGCTCCATGTCAGAAACCCAAGCGGGACTTAATCCGGGGACTCCAGGATCGCGCCCCGAGCCAAAGGCAGGCGCTAAACCGCTGAGCCACCCAGGGATCCCCAAGTTTGTGTTTTTAAAGGAAGGTGTTAACTACTACAACAGAACTTCATTTTTTAAAAAAATATTTATTTATTTATGATATATATATATATATAGAGAGAGAGAGAGGCAGAGACACAGGCAGAGGGAGAAGCAGGCTCCATGTCGGGAGCCCAATGCAGGACTCGATTCCTGGACTCCAGGATCTCGCCCTGGGTCAAAGGCAGGCACCAAACCGCCGAGCCACCCAGGGATCCCCTACAACAGAACTTCATTTTTTTTTTTTAAAGATTTATTTATTTATTTGTTCAGAGAGAGAGAGAGAGAATGGCAGAGACACAGGTAGAGGGAGAAGCAGGCTCCATGCAGGAAGCCCGATGTGGGATTCGATCCCGGGTCTCCAGGATCACACCCCGGGCTGCAGGCGGCGCTAAACTGCTGCGCCACCGGGGCTGCCCCAACAGAACTTCAATACTAGATTCAGGCACAGCCCCTATCCAAGACCCTTGGGGTCAGGTGTATTTTAGAATTCAGAGTTTCTCAGATTTCAGCACCCCACAATCAAACAAAAATACTTCTGCAAAAAACAAAAACAAAAACAAAACAAAACAAAAACCACTTCTGCAACAAAACCTAAATTCCTAATGAGGGATCCACAAAGCCTGTAAATGTCCTCATGTTGGTTTAGGTTTAACTTTTGTATCAAATGAATTTGTGCCAAACTTATTTTAAGAACTTTGACTTTTTAGAAGTTTCTGGATTTTGGAATTACAGAGAAGAGACTGAGGGCTTGTATTTCCAGTGTCAGAGTAAAGGGAATCCTGCAGTGTGGACCAGATGTTTTTGGCTAGAGAGGCCACTCATACTAAGCAGTTGGCTTTGGTGTGAAGTTTGCCTGTAGGTCAGCACATGAGACTACCCTGTGTTTTCCTTTCCTCAACTTCTTTTTTTTTTTTTTTTTTGAGCTTTCTTTTTTTTTTTTTTTAAAGATTTTATTTATTTATTCATGAGAGACACAGAAAGAGAGAGAGGCAGAGACACAGGCAGAGGGAGAAGCAAGCTCCATGCACCGGGAGCCCGATGTGGGATTCGATCCTGGGTCTCCAGGATCGCGCCCCGGGCCAAAGGCAGGCGCTAAACCGCTGTGCCACCCAGGGATCCCCCTTTCCTCAACTTCTGAATACAGAAAATAGTTTTGTTTTTTTTTTTCTGATTACGAAAGTACTGAATGCTAATTTTTTTTTTTTTTTTAAAGAGAGCGAGCTCAAAGTGGGAGGAGGGGAGAGGGAGAGAGAATCTTAGGCAGGCACCACATTTTCAGTGCAGAGCCCGACATGGGGCTCCATCTCATGACCCTGAGATTATGAGATCATGACCTGAGCTGAAATCAAGAGTTGGGTGCTCAACTGACTGAGCCACCCAGCACCCCATACTGTATGCTAGTTTTTAATAGCAATTTGTAGCTTAGAAATGGAAGTCCCTTATAAATCTTACCTCCTCAAGATAACTATTAACTAACTTTGGGGTTAATCCTTCAGATTTTTTCAATGTACGTGCTTTTAGATACATATTTATACAGTATGTATAGCTATTTTCGCAGTAATGAGATTATATTGTATATAACGTAGCTTAATTTTCTCTCTTCGTTTACTAATATCTGGGCTGTTTTCTTATGTCAATAGTTTAGGTTTTATTCTTTTAAAAAGCTGAAGATTTCCATTATATGGGCCATATTATTATTTACCCATTGCCTTATCAATTGATATATGGGCTGTTTCCTTTTTCCATGCAGTAAGTGCCCTTATATGCATCTTTGTGTATTTCTGTGAGCACGTGAAGGCTTGATGCCTACAAGTAGAACTGTTGGCTCAATGGGTCTGTGTGGTTTTTGCTTCAAAAGTCAGTGCTGAATTGCCTCAGCAGATTCTACCAAGACTTCCACCAGCAGTACTGGAGAATTCCTGCTTCCTCTTCACCAGTCCATGCCAGATGGTTTTTTTTTTTTTTTTCATGCCAGATGGTTTTAATCTGCCACCCTGATTTGGAAGAGCCGTCTCATTTACATTTCTTTGCTTATTCAGAGGTTGGCAATCTTTTTCAAATGTTTGTTGGTGGTGGCCATTTGTATTTTCTTCCCCTTTTGAATTGCCTGCTTCTGTCTAAAAGGTCAAGTTGGTTTTATTTTTCTGACCATTCTCTGGTGAGGGACCAGGAGGTGAGGGCACGTGGCGCCACTGAACCTGTAGTTGTTGAGGGGATCATGAGTATGGCCAGGCTCTGTGCTGCTGAAGGAAAGACAGGAGGCTGGTGGGCTTGGCTTTAACAAGCCATTACTCTGTCCTGGGAGTACGTGTCTGGTTTACCCTAGGGACTGGGGATTAGAGTCTTGGTTTAAACGTGTGTGTGTGTGTGTGTGTGTGTGTGTGTGTGTGTGTGTGTGTGAGAGAGAGAGAGAGAGAGAGAGAGAGAGAGGGAGAAAGGGAGGAAGTTGGGTTGAGGGGAAGATTCTATTTATCTGTTTGCTTTTTCACTTTCTTTGTCAAGATTCCTCGGAGGATATCCCTCCAGCCACTCAGAACTTCATCATTCCGAAAAAGGAGATCCACACAGTTCCAGATATGGGCAAATGGAAGCGTTCTCAGGTACCCGTGGTGTCTGCAGTATTGAGCCAGAGCTGGGATGAAGAACTTGTGCTTTTTCAGAGACCATGAGCTCCTGACCTTTCTTGCTCTTGGAACCAGAGCTGTTAGAAGCTGGGGAGAGAGATGATGGGGAGCCAGCTGTTCTCTCTCATGGGGAGAAGTTACAGCCAGTCTGGGAGTCAGCATATCTAAGTAAGAGGAGGTTATCTATCTCATTGAAACCTAGGCCAGGAAGGTGGCTGGGCCTAAAAACACCTAGGAACTAGGACTTGGAGCAAGAGGAAGTGCTGACCAGCTTTCTGTGCTGTTCAGTCCAATGGTGGGCAGAAAAGAACAGCTTCTACCTCCCGGGCTTCTGGCACAGGCTGTGGAAAGATTGGGACTAAGAAAAAGTCAATTTCAAATCCCCAGGGAAAGCCTTGGTCCCAGCTACAGCCAGGTGCCCACCCCTGGTCTGCTCAGCTGGGGTGGGGAGAGTCACTGGTACAGAAGGGCTCATTCTCTGTGGGGGGAGTCTGCTGTGCTTACACTAAGCCCACACCCTGCATTTGCCATGGCTTGTCCTTCTTGGGGCCATGTAAGCTTTTCTGGCTCCTCTTTCATAAGCCTGCGTTCTAAATATTTGCCGATGGTTATCGTGACTTTTCTGAGTTATATTCTCCCCCTAGATCTTCACCAGGATAAACACCTTAGTCCCCACAGCTGCTCAGAGGACACGGTTTGACTCCTTTCATCATCTTGGTTGCTCTACCTCAGGGTTTCTAAACCTTAGCACTGTTGACATTTGGGAGTAGATAATTCTTCGTGGTAGGGGGCTGTCCTGTGTATTGTAGGATGTTTAGTAACTTCTGTGTCTTCTACCTGCTAGATGCCAACAGCACCCCTCCCCCCGGTTATTAACAACCAAAAGTGTCTCCAGACACTGTCAGAAGTCACCTGGGAGCTAAATCACTTGGGTTGAGAACCCTGAGTCTGCCTTGAACCTACAGTATTGCTGAATCCAAATATGGCTTTAGTTCTTTGTTTTCCAAAGAGGATGTGTTTATGATGTGCCAGGTATTTTTTAGCTCATTTAATCCTCACAAAAACTCTGGGAAGTAGACTCAGTGTTCATCTCCATTTTGAAGGTGAGAAAAGTGAGACCAGGAGATAAAGAAATTTAGCAAGATGGTAGCATTAGCAAGTGGTTGGGATGAGATTCAAGATTGACGCCCAGGTCCTCTGTCTCTAGATAGCCATGGGTTGAGCCACCATGCTCTAGGCCATAGGTCAGCAAATTACTGCCTTCTTACCTAATCTGGACCTCTGTCTGTTTTTGTAAATAAAGTTTTATTGGAACACAGCAAGGTTCATTTGTTTATGTATTGTCCATGGCTGCTTTCGCACTCAACTGGCAGTGTTGAGAATTTGTAAACCAGACTTTATGGTCTGCTGAGCCTAAAATAGTTACTATCTGGCCCTTCGTAGGTGCCAACACTTTTTGGGAAACATTGGTTAGTTCTTCTAATGGAGTATTGTTGAACAATCTTGGGTAGAAGCCTTTTGCTTGCTCTAAAGCTCACCACTCAAGTGTGTGACTTCACAAGGGACTCTGTGCCATGGTTCACACAGTTTGATTAGGCAGCAGAGCGCAGCAAGAGGATGGACTTAGGGTCAGAGAGATCAAAGCTTGAAGCCCAGGGTTGCCATTTCCTCTTCTTGTGACTTAGGTAATGTGCCTAAGCTAGCCAAGTCTGTTTCTTCTACGAAAAATGAGGTTGTTTGGAGGCTTAAAGGACTCAAAGTCCAAAAAGCACCTGACCCAGCGCTAAGCATTCATGAGGGGTACTGACCTGCAGGCATGATTGTTACTGTTACAGGGATGAGGATGGTGGTGTTGGTGGAGACAGGTATGTTTATAAGAATGGCCTGAGCTTTAGTCACCAAGAGACTCGGGCCTGTGTGGGAGCAAGGACACTGCCCCTTGCTGCTTTCTGTCTTTGCATCCGGTGTAATTTGTAAGAATGACTGTGATCACTGGCCGCAGGCAGGACGAGGGCTCAGACCTGCCCTGTGACCCTTCATTTTCATTCCACAGGCTGTAGGAAGGTCCTGGTACAGGAAATGTTCCTTTCTAGATGCTGGATGGTCAGTTGTCAGGGCTTGCTGTGGCTGCTGCTGCCATCTCTAAAGCTTGGATAAGGAGAGGAAGGAAGAGATTGAGAGGCAGCCGAGATGGAAAAGAAATGAGACCAAACAGAAGTCATTTGTTCCTGGGACTACTTCTTCAGAGGCCTGCACCTCACTGTTTTCTTACCCATGTGCTGGCTGTAACCCTAGCCCAGCAGGGAAGACAGTGCCCAATTGGAAGCCAGGGATGGGTGTGCTGGCACACCTGACCGTGGGCAGAAAACTGTTTCTTCTCTAGGAAGCAGACGGGCTGCACTACAGTCTGACATCCTGGCCTGTCTGGTGGGGGGAAACATCTGGAAGCCTACTAGGGGAGGAACCCTTGTGGAATTCCTTGAACTCCTGGTGGTGTAGTATAATTGTAGGACTTGTGGGGTCCTAGCTCCATATCTAATGAGATCTTGGTCTTAGGAGACCTTGGGCAAGTCGCCTCTCCTGAAGTGAAGCCTTGGTTTCCTCATCTATAAAATGAGGACAGTGAGTGTTTACCTTGTGGGGTTGTGTAAAGGACCTCCTGGTGGTAGTAATGAGCATGTTCTGGCTGAGGATCCAGGTGTAATCATGGTCATTGACTTGCCAGCTGTTAAGGATGGAGGGTACGGGTGGGGTATTTGGCATTATCATTCTGCTTCCCTTGCTGGCAGGCTGGGGACCAGGGGACAGCTTGGAGCTCTTTGGCAACTGGATGGAGCTGGGGGCTGGGTAGGGGGGTGGAGGGTCAGGGGTCTGACATTCCTCTCCCTCCCCGCTCCCCACTTTATTTGGTAGGCATACGCTGACTACATCGGATTCATCCTCACCCTCAATGAAGGTGTGAAGGGAAAGAAGCTGACCTTTGAGTACAAAGTCTCTGAGGTAGGCGCAGGCAGGGAACCTGCCACCGAAGAGCCTTTCCCAGAATAGCTATGGAGAATCACATGTGCTTGTTGCCCACAACACGCCAGGGCAGAAAATAAGACTGCCCAAGGACATGTGCAGTTGACATTTTGGTGTTTGTATTTCTTTTTTTTTATTTAAAAATATTTATTATTTGAAGTGGGGGGAGCCTGCATGAGTAAGGGGAGGGAGAGGGACAAGCAGACTCCACACTGAGCAGAGTCTGATATAGTAGTGCGATCCTGGCGGGGCTCGATCCCAGGACCCAAAGACCATGACTGGAGCCAAAACCAAAAGTCAGACGCTCAACCTACTGAGCCACCCAGGTGCCTCTTGGTGTTTGTATTTCTTTCTTTCTTTCTTTTTTTTTAAATATTTTATTTATTTATTTATTTATTTATTTATTTATTTATTTATTCATTCATTCATTCATTCATTCATTCATTCATTCATTCATGAGAGCACAGACAGAGAGAGAGGCAGAGACACAGGCAGAGGGAGAAGCAGGCTCTATGCCGGGAGGCCGATGTGGGACTTGTTCCCAGGATTCCAGGATCACACCCTGGGCTGAAGGCAGCGCTAAAACGCTGAGCCACCCAGAGATCTCCAGTGTTTGTATTTCTAATCTTTTCCTTTTCCTCAATCTGTGAATAGATAGAGATTTATAAAATTGGGATCAAGGGAAGTACATGTCTTACAGCCTGCATTTTTGCTAACTGGTGTTTTTATGTAACTTTTTAGATGAAAAAAGATCACAAATGAAGTAAGTGTGCTCACCAAAGGGAACAGTAATAGAAGTGTATTTACAAAAAGCTGACCTCTCTCGATTTTCTCCCTCCTACCCACCTCCCTGGGGTGGCCCTGGGAACAGTTTTGGTAATGCCAGCCAGACCTGCCATGTGAGCCCCTCCTCTCCTGTTGCCCCTCCACTATGTAAATGGCTGTCTCATTGAGCCCACCCTCATTGTTTAAACAGCCCCTGACTGTGGACTTTGAGATTGTGTCCCTAAATATTGGTGCTCTGAACATCCTTACATATAGATCTGTGGATGCACTTTCCTTTTTTAAAGACATTTTTTTTAAAGGTTCTATTTATTCATGAGAGATACAGAGAGAGGCAGAGACATGGGCAGAGGAAGAAGCAGACTCCCTGTGGGGAACCCGAATTGGGACTCCATCCCAGGACTCCAGGATCGCCCTGAGCTGAAGGCAGATGCTCAACCACTGGCCACCCAGGCATCCCTGTGGATGCTCTTTCCTAAGGAATCATTCCTGGAAGTGGGAATACTGAGTTTAGGGCATGCACTGCAGGGTGGGCACTCTCTGGCTGCTATTTCAGAGACAGGTGGTTTTCGGAGAGGACAAGAGCTGGGGGGGGGGGGTGTGGGGGTGTGGGCTTGCAGGCTGTTTGCCCTTACTGGATGCCACCTCCTAGGGCTAGGTCCCAGGCCTCCAGTGGCTTCTTGGGTTCTTATCCTAGTTGGCCCACAGTCATCTTGAGACTCTTATCTCAGACACCAGGGCCTGAGCTGCCTCTCAGTGCCTTATCTCACCCTGTCGGGTAAGGCCTGACCCTGTTGTGGCTTGGTCTTTCCACCTGTCCTGAGGCTAGCAGGGCAATGCTCATTTCAAAGCCCCTGCCCCGCTGCCTTCCCTCCCCCCTCCCACCCACCCCCATCTCCTGCCCTGCCCCAGAGAGCTGCCTCTTCCTGGGCCCTAACTGGCTGGTGGGAGGCTGAGGTCTTGTTCTGTCACTAGAGGGGAGCCAGGCCTGTACTGGGGATAGACCTCCTTCTCTTGGGAGCTGGTCCACCACTGAGTTTGTGGGTTGAGAGACGAGAGGGCTTGTCCTTGAGTGTATGATGAGGGAAGCTGGGCTGTGCTCAGGGGGCAGGGAGTGTGGTGGGGGTAGGCTAATTATAGGGGGATGTTCTAATTACCCCAGCAGATCCTGAGCCTCCAAATCCCTCTCAGGTCCCATAATTGACCCTCACGCTTTGATGGTAAGACTCCACGCCAGCCAGGTGTTGTCTTAGCTCAGGAGTTGTTCTTCTGGCAGGATTGTAGCATGGTTAAGTGCTTGGGTTCTGGAGTCAGGCTGACTGGATTTTGATAACCTCTCCCTTCCAAGCTGAGTGGCTTTGTCCCCTCTGACCCTCTATCTCTTCATCTATGAGTGGAAGAGCCAACAGACCGACTCATGGCCCCTGGGGAGGACTCAGTGGGAATCCCACACATAGGGATGTTAGCACAGTGCCTGGCACATTAGCTCTTATCATTAGCTATTTTTCAGTTCTAACCTCTAGTAGTGGTGTGATTGCTTCAGCTGGGGGCTCTTCCTGAACTAGGCTTCATCCCAGTGCCAGGGCAATCACTTGGTGGGCAGAGGTGACTAATTTGGTCTCCAGAGGTCTTCCAGCTTCTGCCCACAGCTGGCAGGGCAGCAGAAGGCACGACTGACAGCATGTGGTCTCAGCCCATGGGTGTGAGGGGGGCCCCCTCGGCACAGGTGCTGGGGGCGCCTGTTTCCTCTTAGTCCTCCCTCCTCCCACAGGGTTGGCAGCTGGGGAGAGGGCAGATGGAGCTGCCTTAGGTGGCAGCTTCCAGACCAGCAGCAGCGAAGGGAGCAAGCAAGGGCAATCTGGTGAGACTGTCTAGACCCATGTTTAGAAGGCTCTCCTTCAGTTTGAGATTATGTCTGTCCTAATCTTCAGGGTTTTTTTGAGTTTTGCAAAATATGAGTAGAAAAGAGGATTAGGGACGCCTGGGTGGTTCAGTGGTGGTTGAGCATCTGCCTTTGGCTCAGGGCGTGATCCCTGAGTCCTGGGATCGAGTCCCGCATCAGGGTCCCTGCATGGAGCCTGCTTTTCTCTCTGCCTGTGTCTCTGCCTCTCTCTATGTCTCTCAAGAATAAATAAATAAAGTCATTAAAAAAAAAAGGATTATTATTACTTTTTATTCTTGTTTGATATTTAAGTTGGGAGCAAAGAAAAAAAAAAAAAAACACTGGCAAGTAATGTTTTAGAGAAAATTTTATTGGTCCATGAAATCCAAGAGGAAGCCCTGGGTGAGGAAGCAGGACGGTAGTTCAAATTATTATTTGTGCTTCCTGAGGGTTCTGGCTCACAGCCCCTCTGGCCCAGCCAGTCAGACAATAGAGGCAGCCCCTGCATTCTGAAAGCCCTCTCCAGAAAGAGGAGCAAGGAGCCTTTTAATTATTCATTGCCCCAGCTGAGCTGGCAGCTGGGGCCTGGCTTCCACAGCCTTCCAGCACCTTCTTTATCCCCTTCAGCCCTGGCCCAGGACTGGGATGGCCCGGGAGTCGGGCCTGGCTGGTACTTCTTGGGGCCAGATTACCACCTCATCACTCCCGAGTCCTGGTTGCAGCATGGGGTCAGGTTTGCTCTGTCCTTATCAGGTCCTGGTGACCTAGTTCTTCACAAAGCTGGGCTCTGGAAGCACTTTCTCACACATTACAGCTGGGCAGCTTTATGTCACCCTGGCCCTCTGCCTCAGCGAGGTATAAAGGGAGTTTCCCCTCTTACAGGTAACTTTTCCTGAGAGGGGAGGTGGAGGATGGTATCCTTAAGGCCACTGTCACGTTGTATAATGCCAGGGGGTGCTGTTTACGTGGCCTGCAGTGATTTGTACCTCCTGGAGCTGTTTGGGGGTGGAGGGGTGTTGAGGGGGACTGGGGAGGATGGGCACTGGCTGACAGATACTCCATTAGCTCAAGTCCACGTTCCCTCTCCCAGAGCTCTCTGACTGCCCCTCTGCAGAGCCTGCGCAATGCAGCAGTGGACCTGACTGAGCCTTGCCTTCCTCCTCAGAACTTTTCATGTGGGCACTACCCTGCTAGGTCCTACCCAGTATCAGGGGTTTCTGGAAGTCTCTCTCTGTGCTCTTGGTACCCAGTGGACACAAGCAAGACCTGCTTCCTGGCAAGGTCTTCTTTCCCAGGGCTGCCTGCCTCTAAACACCCTCTGCTAGCCTTTCGTTCTGGCCTTTTTTTTTTTTTTTTTTTTACAAGCCACACCCAGAAGGAGCCCTTTTCTAGCTGCCCTTCCAGACCTGTGTTTTGGATAGTCAGCTTCACCTGATCTCCTGATTGAGTAACATTCTGTTAATGCTGCCCTGGCCTGTGGCACCAATTCCGTGTCTTGGTTTCTACCTACTGTGGGAAAGGTGTAGGGAGACGGGCTCCCTGAAACTGCAGCCCAACAAAGCATTACAGAGGTTTGGACCTCTGACCCAGTGGTTCTGCTGAAGGAGACTTCCCAGATTGTTTGTAGAAGTGGACAATTGGAAATAAGCCAAATATGTAACAGTGAGAGATTCAATAAATCATAGTATGTTGGCACAATGAAATACTATTGACTTACTAAAGGCTGTCATAAAATTATGTTTACATGTTGATGTGGGATAAGGCTTATGAGGAAATCAGGCAGGCTACCAGGCAGCATGTGCCCCGGAACCCGTGTTTTAAATATTTTATTTATTTGAGAGAGAGAGTAACCATGGATGAGGGAGAGGGGCAGAGGGAGAGGGACAAGCAGACTCCTCGCTGTGCAGGGAGCCCGACGCAGGGTTCTGTCCTAGGGCCCTGGGATCATGACTCGAGTTGAAGGCAGACGCTTAACCGCCTGAACCACCCAGGCGCCACCCCCCCCACCCCCCACCAGACAGTTGGATTTAATATTTTATTTATTTATTTATTCATGAGAGACACAGAGAGGGAGAGAGAGAGGGAGAGACACAGGCACAGGCTCCCATGCGGGGAGTCTAATGTAGGACTTGATACCGGGACCCCAGGATCACGCCCTGGGCTGAAGGCGGCGCTAAACTGCTGAGCCACCCAGGGATCCCTTTTTTTTTTCTTTAATATTTTATTTATTTATTTATTCATGAGACACACACACACACACACACATACACACACACAGAGGCAGAGACACAGACACAGGCTCCCATGCGGGGCAGACAGTTGGATTTAAAAACTCCATCCTGTAGGAGTGTGTGATCTCCCCAACCCTTACCACTTAATGCCATGCCTAGGGGTCGTTGTCCAGCTGCAGGTGAGACTTCCCTTTGTGGCTCTAGCTGGGGGCCACTCGTCATTCATTGTGGCTTGTCCCCTCTACTTTACCTATTATAGGCCATTGAGAAACTGGTCGCCCTCCTCAACACACTGGACAGGTGGATTGATGAGATCCCTCCGGTGGACCAGCCCTCTCGATTTGGGAACAAGGCCTACAGGACTTGGTATGCCAAACTCGACGAGGTAAGGCTGTCACAGGACATACTTGGGGACTGGGCCAGGGGTGCAGGAGCTTTCAGGTATCTCAGCATCTCTGGGGAGTTTGTTAAATTCCACTTACCAAAAGTACCAATGTATTTACCCTCTGCCCCCGTCATCTTCTGGGAACCACCACTGTGGATGCCCAGTCCTCTGCACAGGGCTGTTAATTAGGTCATCGTTTGCATTAGCTACAGATTCAAATGTCCCAAGTGTCCCATGTGTAGGGGGTCAGTTGGATAAACTAGTAGAGCTAGCCTGGAGTGCTATGCAGCTATGAGAAAGACTAGGAGACCTACTTGGAGCCTGGGGTGAGGCAGTCTGGGATTTATCATTCAGTTGAAGAAGAACCTGGGGTCAGTCTGACACATATGGTGAGCTACTTCTTGGTAGGAAGGAGGGAAAAATGAAAAGATCTGGTTGCGTAAAGAAACATCAGTTCCTGATGACCTAGTTTACGCAAACTGCTCAGTTTGTGTAAAGAAACACCATTAGAAGGATATACAAGAGGCTAATAAAGCTGTGATTTCTCTCAGGGCAGGAGAGAGTGGGAAGGGGGCTAGAAACTTCTCAATGCATCCCTTTTGTAATATGTGTAATTATTTGCTTTTTTACTTTTTGATATTTTCTTGGCAAATCCCAAAGAATTTAGTATTGTACTTCTTTTTCTTGATTTTTCAAATTATTAATTTTTATTTCAATTTCAGGAAGTTAACATTTAGTGCAATATTGGTTTCTTAAGTAGAATTCAGTGCGTTTTAATTTTGTTAATGTGTTTATTTTTGAATCCTATCACAGCGATACCTGTTCAAAGCAAACAAAAAATTAAAATGCAGGATCAGAGTCCTGTAGGTCTAGGGTAAGGCCTGGGAATCCAGATTTTCCTCAGGTCTCTAGGAGATTTTCCTGCCAGGTGTCCATAGACTGAACCTAAAGCAACTTGAGTCCTCATTTCTCTGACCTTGTGTTTTTGCCTGGAGCAGAGGGGAGTCCCAAGGACCCAGCAAAATGCTGCCCTGCCTAAGAGCAGTCTGGGGCTGCCCCTGAAATCTTAAGAGGGTACATGTTTTTTGTTTGTTTGTTTGTTTGTTTTCTTTTTAAGATTTTTATTGAGTTCTACCTTACAGGAAAGTGAACACAACATAGCTATACAGCTTGATGGACCTTAACGTAGGTTTTGACCCTTGTACCACCACCTGTATCAAGCTCTAAAACACTCCAGCACTCTAGCGGGACCCTTGTGCCCCTTTTGAGGTGATATCCACCTCCAGACTCTTCTAAGTTCTATCCCATAGATAAGTGCTACCTGTTTTTGAATTTCTTATAAATGTCTGACTTCTTTTGCTCAGTGTTCTGTCTCTGCGAGTCACCCATGTTGTGTGGAGCAGCTGAGCTTTTTCATTGTGGTGTGGTGTTTCAGCACCTAACCACACCATGGTCTGTTGCTGATGGACATTTCAGTTGAGGGCTACTATGGATAATGCTGCTATGAACATTCTCCTATGTTTTTTGGTGGACATATGGCACAGATTCTTGCTACCCTGGGAGTATGAAGAAAGATGGTGCCTATAAGGACATCAGTGAGTTACGGGATAAGGGAGTCGAATGGCTTCTTTGCAATTCCCTCCTATCTTGTCCCACACCCTTGTCCCCTGGAGGAAGGGTCCGCAGACTAGAAACCACCCCAGGGTAGTTGCTCTATGGTGTAAGAGTAAATGTTTCCCTCTTCTTTCTGTAGCCAGTCAGAGCAGGGAGCCAGGCCGGCCTGGCATGGCCCGCTGGGCCCCAGCCAAATGCTGCTCCTGGGTGCCTGCCTACCAGGATGCTGCCTAATCTGCTGCCACCACTTTGTGTCTCTTGTGTTATCAGGAAGCAGAAAACTTGGTGGCCACAGTGGTCCCCACCTGTCTGGCAGCTGCTGTGCCTGAGGTGGCCGTTTACCTAAAGGAGTCAGTGGGGAACTCCACACGCATCGACTATGGCACAGGTACCTGCTGCTCTCTGTGTTTACTTGGCTTCACCGCAGTCTCTTCTTGGGCTCCTTCCTCTTTGCTCTGGATTGTCTCAGGGCCCTCTGAGCAAGAGCCTTTGGGGCCAGGTAGGCTGCAGTTGTCCTGGGTGCAGGGAGGCCTGGTGCTGCTCCTGCTGCTCCGTCTTGGTCCACCAGGGGGAGCTGATGCCACATACTTGGTGTCTGTGCAGCCCCGATTTCCATTCCTTATAAAAGATGGTCTCTGAGCTTATCACCAGCAGCAAAGTAATTTATTGAGCACTTACTATATCTTAGGGCGACCCCTTACCAGAACCTTGAGAAATGAGAGCATTCTGTAGCCTCTGGAAGCGTTGTGGTACACGCTGTGGTACACGGACATGCCAGTGTCTGTGCTATGGAGTTCTGCAGAAGAGGGCGCATGCTGTCTGGTTAGGCAGTGAGTGGGTGGTAGCTGAGGAGGACCTTGTTCTGGTAGGCGCACCCTCCTGACCTGTCCTGAAGCAGCAAGTGCAAGAGCGGCTGCTCTTTCTGGCCTTCACCTTGCCTGGGCCTTGGGTTCCTCGAGAGAAACACAGGCCACTGAGGCAGGCCTGGAAAAGGGTCCCCTTGAAACTGGGTCCTGGGGAGGCTTTGTCTTCTGCTTCCCCTGTTGCTGGGGAGCAGGTTTATCAGGTGTTTGAGACTTCCAGGGCTTGGCCTAAAATGGACAGGGAGGGACCCTGAGGGACATTGGCCAGGTCAACTGGGGTTTTCCTTCTGGTATCAGGTGTGTGAGAGCCCCTGAGCCATGGCTGCCTGGCCTCTGGGTGGTGGAGATCAGGAACCATGTAGGTGAGAGGAACAGGTCACAAGCTTCCCAGGCCTTGGAAGCAACCTTGCTTCTATAGAGATGGGACAGGAAGTCGCTGAAATATTCTTTCTCTACCTCCCTCCCTCTCTATACCCAGTGTGGGGCTTGAACTCACAACTCCAAGATCAAGAGTCACAGTTCCACTGACTGAGCCAGCCAGGGGCCCTGTGGAAGGCGTTGTCTTTTGACCCTGTAATGTGACCATGTGTTCTCTGCTTAGAAGCCTTCAGTGGCTCCCATTGCTCTTAGGATACTGAGTCTAAACTTCTTACGTGGCAGTTAAGTCTTGTTATCCTTTCCCCCTTGTCCTCTCTGCTTTAGCCATACCAGCCTTCTTAGTGTTCTTCAAACATACCCATTTTTTTTCACCTCAGGACCTTTGCACATGCTATTTCTTCTAGCTAGATTGGTGTTCCTGCTTCCCTCACATGCAGTGTCTTACCAACTCTTACTCATCTTTCAGATTAAATATTACTTCCTTAGGGAAACCTTCTTGAACCCTAATGTCAGGGTCCCCCCGTGATATCCTCTGGTTATCACCCTGTCCTTCTCCTTCAGAGCTAGAATTATAGAAGTGATTGTCTATTTATTGTTTGTCATCCTGAAGATCATAAACTATCAAGCAAAGGCATGGACTTAGTCTTCCTAGTGCCTGATATGGACAGTGGCTGCCCTTGTAGTAGGTGCTCACTTGATAGTGTGGAATTGACCAGTGAGTTAAACCTACAAAACAAAATGCAACTGTCTGTTTAAGAAGTCCACAGCCTTGGCCTTTTAGGAGTTGAATTATAGTAGCAGTAGTTACCAAAAGGGCCTGGGTCTTTCCAGAAGGGGCAGAGGCCCCATCATCTCCATGTTGACCTTCCTCTGTAGAGGGGCAGTTCTCAGTGATGTGGACTCTGGTGAGACCAAGAATAGTACCACTCCTTTTCCTGGAAGACTGTTGACCTCAGCTGTTTTTTCTCCTCTAGGACATGAAGCAGCCTTTGCTGCTTTCCTCTGCTGCCTCTGTAAGATTGGGGTGCTCCGGGTAGATGACCAAATAGCTATTGTCTTCAAGGTGTTCAATCGGTGAGTGAGAAGAAGAGCGGCAAGGGTCTTCCCTCCTCATCACTGCCAGGCTGGAGGCAGGATGCTGGCGGGCTCTCCCGAGTGGCCGATGCGTCTTTCGGCCTGTCCTAACCAAGCTCTGCCTGTGGATGGGGTGTCCAGGAAGACTTCTGAGAGGTTCAGATTCAAATAAGAACAAGTGAAGGAAACGGGTCACTTGCCGACTACTAATGCCTCTGTGGCATTTTCCCTGGCCAGCCTTGTCCTAAGCACTCTGCATGCAGCTCCCTCCCTAGATTCTCCCAACAGCTCTAGGTAGAGTTATTTCCATTTTATAGATGAAGAAACAGAGGCACAGAGAAACCATCTTCTGATCCCTAAGGTCACACAGCCAGCTGAACTGCGTTCAGGCTCTGAGCTGCTCCCTGTCCCCAGACCACCTGCCTGGCAACACAGGTGCACTGCAGCTGCCAGAGGCCTCTGACACACCCATCCCAGGCCCCACTCTGGCGATGCTGATGCCAGAGCTCCCAGGTGACACTGATGCAGCCCCTGAGAACAGGGAAGGCCGGAGCTGGGAGGTTCCAGGAGATGATCTGCTCTGTCCCCCACCAGCTTGCCGATGGGCAGGCCAGAGTTAGACAGCCTGAGGCTCTTGTCCAGGAGCTCATGTTATGAGTTGATGGTGCTAAAACCCCCTTTCCTGGGCCAAAAGAAGGCTGAGTGTGGGAGAAAAAAATCGACATTATTTTGAGAATACCAGCTGATGCATAACTTATGTGTGTAGGTTTTAATTGAAATAGAGACCAGTTACACTCTTAGGTGGTTATTTCTGGCCTCAGTGAGCTCCTGATGGCAGAAGGGTAGAGACTGTCTGCTTTTTGCTACTTTTTTCTTCCCTGCCCTCCTGTGTAGGTACCTCGAGGTTATGCGGAAACTCCAGAAAACATACAGGATGGAGCCGGCGGGCAGCCAGGGAGTGTGGGGCCTGGACGACTTTCAGTTTCTGCCCTTCATCTGGGGCAGTTCACAGCTGATAGGTACTGAAGGGGCATCTGCTGCTCCTCCCCCTGGGGTGTCTACTCTATCCACCTCCCTCCCTTCTTGCCTTACTTTTTCTGCTGGGGAAGACAGTGACAGCTTGTAAAGCAGGCATTAGTCTGGCTATTGACTGAGGCTGTTTGCTGTTGACCTTGTGCTGAGCGCCGGCTCTTGTGCTGAGAGCTGGCTCTGGCTCGGCAGGCCAGGGGAGGCCGGGGGAGGCTGAGGGAGGATGGGGGAGGTGGAGGCAGAGTGTGCCAAGATAATGGAAAGTGACACAGGCTGGAGCAGGGGCACTCGCCTGGCACATAATGGACTGGTGTGAAATGCACCCCCACTCCTGGCAGCAGCTGTGGGGTTTTATGTTGAAAATGAGGGGCTATTTTGACTTGGTGACTGGTGTCATCCGCTGTTATTATCAAGCTGTGCGCAAGGGAGCCCATCAGGGAGTAGCCACCCATGGGGGGCAGTGAGCTGCTTCCTGTGGGCCCACTTTGCCTGCTCCCCCACTTTGCAACTGCTCCCCAGGCTTGGGTGGCTCACTGGGATCTATGCTGGATGAGGGCCGGGGAGTGACTTCTGCTTCCATATAACATTAACTGCCTACAAAATAATATGAATAGGTATTTTGAGTATTTGCTCTGTGCCAGGCACTGTTCGAAACATTTTAGGTCACTTCTCAGTGACCCTGGGAAGGGTCTTGGCCAGCATGAGACTAGCCGCCATCGACTAGCACTTAACCTGTGCAGGTACCATGTTGGAGGCTTGACTCTGGTCCCTATCACCAGGCGGCATGAGGGAGGTGCAGTTCATATCCCCACTGCACAGATGAGAAAACAGCCTCAGAAGGCTGAAATCACTGGTTCAAGGTCACATGGCTAGAAAATGGCAAAGCCACAGCTTGTTCCATGAGAGCAAGTTCGTACACACACACACACACACACACACACACACACACACACACTCATCATTTATTGCTCCTGCAATAAGGTCAAGTGTTGAGAGCACATGGGCAGGACAGTGGCCCCCGGGGTGGGTGTGGACAACCCTGGGCTGAGGTGCTTGGCGGTGTGAGTGTCTGGTTCTGAACCCTGGGGCTCTTTGCTGTTCCTAGACCACCCGTTTTTGGAGCCAAGGCACTTTGTTGATGAGAAGGCTGTGAATGAGAACCACAAGGACTACATGTTCCTGGAATGTATCCTGTTTATCACTGAGGTGAGGGGAATGGGTGAGGGCCACCCATGGTGGACTCCAGGCTGAGATCAACTGAAGCTGATGGCTTTGGAGTGGGACAGAGGAGCCAGAGTTTTCACCCAAAGATGACAGGGCTGGTCCCTAGGGAGGTGGGTTACTGACAAGGTAGCCCCACTAGGCCCCACTAGGCCTTTGGAAGGTTAAGCCAACATCTGACTGTCCAGGATCTCCTTTCCCAAATCAGTGGTCTGGGGTTACTACTGAACCTCGTGGGACACTTGAGCTGAGGGACTGAACTTTGATCACTAGTGGGCTTGGTAACCAATGCGGCAGGTCTGAAGGGGTGGGCAGGGCCCACAGGGTCTCTCTCTAGCCACTGGCATGTGGCTGTGTGGGATGAAACTATAGCAGGAGGCGGAGAGGCTCAGTGGACAACAGGACAGATTTCTGCTGAAGGGACACATCTCTGTCAGTGCCTGAGGACATGAGCCAGATGAAGTCCTGGAGGTGAACCAAGCAGGCTGGGCTACAGGCCTCCCTGGCAGGGGGTGTTTATTAACTGGCTGCTATTGCCCACTAAGGCCAGGTCTCCCACTTCCTCAAGGTCACTCATGGAGCTTGTTAAAACCCACGTTCCTTTGCCCAACCCCAGCTTTCTGAGTCAAGAATCTTGGGGGATAATACCCAGGAACTCGTATTTAAATACACTTGCCAGGTGACTTTACACAGAATTTGGGGACTCACTGTTCTTAGGATCTCTCTCTCAGGAGGTGTTAGGACCTTTTGTCTTCCCTGCTGCATACCTGTCGCCCCCCAAACTTTGAAAGGGTGCCCTGGTTGTAGTGTCTGGAGACGGTCTTGCCATCATTTTCTTTCCGATGCCCACATGCATATCTGGGTCCCCTCCCCACCAGGGCTGCTCTTTGGCTCTGGTTCTGAGCCCCCTGAACGGAGAAGCCTGGTTAAGTAGCCATAGCCCCAGGTTCCTCATGGTCAGTATTCGGCTCAGGCCTCTGCCAAACTCCAGAGGCCAGAGGGAAATGACATGTTTTTCCAAGTCAGCAAATGGAGCCAGGACTGACGGCTGGGCAGCCACTGCTTCAGTCTCAGATTTGCTGCCTTCAGCAAGGTCAGAAGGACTTGGGGCAGCCTGGCTCACTGCCTCAAGAGCCAGTCATGTGCTACTGTTTCCAGAGTGGAATGCGAGGGTCTGGGAGTCGCAGGAGACCCTGGAGGGAACAGGAGGAACAGGGTGGGGAGAAGGAGTGCACATTCTAGACTGAACCATGCTTTGCTTTGGGGGTAAAGGGCTAGGCTGTTCTGGCTCCCTCTGGTGGCTAGCCAAGCCCCTGGGTCCGTCAGTGCCTAACAAGGAAGGCAGCCAGGCCGGGCCTCAAGGAATATGGGAATTGATTCCAGGTTAAAATGTTGTATTTTTATTTGTTTGGGTGGTTATACTGGTATAAAAACCCAAAAGGTTTCTAAAGTTAGGGACTCGGTTCCTTTGCTGGAGGAAATCCTACAGTGGCCACTAGGTGGCGCTAACGGCACGCCGAACTTTGAGAAGGTTTTAAGTAACTTAATTGGGGGAGAGGCAGAAAGGCAAACCCTAGAGTTTCTGCTTCTTCGGCACCCTCTCTGCAAGGCCTGGTTTTTCCTTTGGGTCTAGGTGGTTGGGCAGGGTGGTAAACGCCGGTGCTAGCAGCTCTGAGGGCTCCATGGCCACCTGGCTAAGCTGAGGCCTGGTCAGCGAGGGTGCTGACTGCCGCTGTGCTGTGCTAGTTCTCCCGAGCTCTGTCCAGGCTACGCCCACCCCAGTCCCCTTCCACCCCACACCAGTGTTTCACTGCCCCTGGTTCGTGAACGAGCCCCCACTGGGACACAGGGCACCTGAAGCCCTGTGCAGAATTCTGTGTGCTTCAGTCTGGAAGGGGGCGGTGTTGCCTCCAGAGACCTGGGGATCAGGATGGCTGGTGCAACTAGGAGGAAAAAACAAAACAAGAAGTTGGAAATGGACCTGGGCATCTCCTCCCTGTCTCCCAGGACTTGCCCTGGTAGCTCTGGGCATCCTGGATGAGGGGGCCCCACCTTGCAGGGCTTCTGCTGTCTCAGGAAATGCAGCCCTGGCGCCTTTAAGAGCCCAGGGCCGGCAGGAAAAGAATTTCAGTTTCAATCTGGCTTCTAAATTTGGAGTTTTGGGAAGGGAGGGATCAGATTTCAGCTGGAAGGGAAGGAGCTGACAGGAAGGCGCTGTGCAGAGCCTCCCCCCATCCCCCCTCAGTTACTGACAGAGGAACCATTTACAAAAGGCCGATTCTCTTGGGAGTGGAGAGGCAGGAACGCAGCGTCTGTGAGTAATTTCCTGCTCAATATGGCTGCTCTGACTCACACGATTCCCCTGGGGTCACTGCGGGACTGCAGCTTGCTTGCTCGTTCTCGCTCTTTCTCTTCTCCCTTTGTGGCTAGAATGAGCTAATTTTTTGTTGTTGTTGTTGTTTTGTTTTCTCGCTCCTGATTCCTTTTTTTCCCCTCATCTGTTTTCCTTTCTCAGAGTTGCAAAGTCTCCTTCTGAAGGACTTGGGGAGACCTGGGGACACTGAAGGCCTGGGGGTGGGGGGTGGGGCAGCCCCTCTAGATAAATAGCGTCTCTGGCCTTTCCATGGGGAGGGGCAGGGCCATTGGGGCTTTTCCAGCAGGCCCGAGAGGCCTTTTGGGGTCCCCTCCCATGCCCCTAGTGGGTGAGGCTGGCCCACAAGGCAAAGCCTCTGGTTTCCCAGCATCATCTGCTGGCCTAGCCTTGGAGCGATGCTGTGGGATGAAGCCAGCAGGGTGCCTCCGGGGTGGTTTGTTCACAAGGCCTTGTCCAGAGTGAAACTGATTACACATCTCTGGTGATTTCTGAACTTCTCAGGGCCTGGAAGTGTGCAGGAGATGACTGGAACCTGGCACTGGCCCCCAAGGGGCAGAGAGTTTTGGGGGAAGGGGTGGGACAAGAGGGAGGGCGGGTAGCTGAGGGTGGAGCCTGCTTGAGTAGGATGGTTGGAACCAAGCTCCTTGAAGGCCAGACCCCCTAGGCTGTGGGTACCGGCAGCTATCCCTAAGAGGGAGCCTTAGAGAGAGAGAGAGGTGGGGGAAGGTACTAGGCATAGGCACTGACCCAGGAAAAGCTCTGTGGCCACCAGCCACCCAGGGGAGGGGGATCTGGTCTCCATCTGCCACCTCTGCCACGTGGGGCTGTGGCCTCCCTACTGGAGGAAGGATCTGCTGTCTTTGCCACTGCACCTGGGAGTTGAGACAGGCTTTGGGGGAACTTCGGCCAGGGGAGGATGGTGACAGCAGTAAATGGCAGCTTTTTGTACTTAGATCTTGCAGTTTGGTACGAGGCTTTACTGGACAAGTGAGAAGTGTGTAGGAGTGGGTTCCCTGGGGAGTCCACAGCCAAACAGTGGGGCTGTTATAAGCTCTTGGGCCCTTACCCTTATGCCCAATATGGAGAAGGAGTTTTGGGCCCATCCTTTCTCCCCAGAACAGCTCTCCCCTAGCCCAGCCTCCATTCAGCCTCTTCTGGAACCTTCCACCCTCTCAGGGTCCAAGTCTCTGCTTACTTGCCAGCTCAGCCTCTTTGCTTTTCAAACTGATTCTTCTGAAGCCTGGGGATTGGGGTGCTGAACCCCATTCCCTCAACAAGCATCAGTGCTGTTTCTAACCTGGGGGGGGGGGCGGTGTGGAAGGGGATTGGAGTGCCTGCTAAACACAGATGTGTGGCCTTGTGCAGAGAGCTGCCTGCAGGCGCACACGCCTCCCTGTCTCAGTGCCATGGTTTCTCCTGTCATGGGAACTTCACTGGGCTTGCTGCAGAATCTCTTTCCTTCCTGGAGGGTCAAACTCTTGGCAAGAGGAGGGACAGGAATGGAGCTGTCCTTGCTCCTGCCTGTCCCTTGGTGCTATCAATGCCACCCCTAATTTACCTCCCAGCCAGGTTGGGCTGGCTTTCTAAACAGACCTTCCTCCCCTTTTGCCTGCCATGCACAAGGCAGTTAGGTTTACTCTTCCCCACCTTGGCTTTCCCCCAAACACCCCTCCCCAGGGTCTTCCGGCTCTACCTGTGACAGGTAGAGCCCACCCTGTGTATGGGGCTGGGGAGGGTCGGGAAGGCTGCTACCACTGTTTATCTGGAGGGGAGCAGGTTCCTGTGCTGGTGGGGCACTCTGTGGCTGGGGCGGTGGGGGGGGAGTCCCAGCAGGGGCTTCAGTTGAGATTTTATTTTTCTGAGGCTGCTGAATGTGGTGAGTGGTGGGAATCAGGCCCCATTTTTTTGGCTGTGGAAGAAAAGGGATGACTCTAGGGGTTGTATTTTCCTAGGGGGTCTTGCAGACCAAGAGAGACCCTGTCTCTGGTACTTGCATGTGCGTGTATGTGTGCACAAGCACGTGCGCACACCCTCTCCGCCCCAGATGATGCAGTCAGGTCCTCAAGCATATATGTGTATGTATGTATGTATGTATATGTGTGCGTATATATATATGCACGCACATGTGTGCTGTAGTGCAGGTATGTTTGCATGTCCTGGTGTGTGTGTACACACATATGTGTACAACCTTGCTGTGGGAATACAGGTGAGCTCCCAGGTGGCCTGCCTTTTCAGCTGTGGATTCTCTTTTCCAGATGAAGACAGGCCCCTTTGCAGAGCACTCCAACCAGTTATGGAACATCAGTGCTGTCCCCTCCTGGTCCAAAGTGAACCAGGGTCTGATCCGCATGTATAAGGCCGAGGTGAGTGGGGCTGGCCAGCACTCAGATCAGAGGGGGCTGCTGATCCCCTCACCCCCACTCTGCTGCTTTGCTCTGAATCTTGGGCCAGCCATTCTGACACTGGAGACCTTAGAGTCTCTGTCTGTGAGGTGGGCAGTCAGAGAATCACTAGGCTGAAGCCCAGCTCTGCCCTGTGACTGAGCCATAGCCCTGACACACAGGGGTCTGTCAAATGGCCAGAGGTAGACATTGGTACCCGAAGGTGGATATGCTTTGTAGGCTCCATGTACATTGGTGCTTCTCAAACTTTGGTGGGCCTGATCCCTGGGCAGGTGAGAGGTCTCTGGAGAGGCCCAGAGTTGACATTCTAGCAACTACTTCAGGTGGTCTTTCTGCTCTCAGATGGGAGAGGTAGGGCAAGGAGGTGGTTTCCCTCAGCTCCCCCTGCTGGGAGTTGGCTTCCCAGCTCCTGTGAGTGTCCCCTGCTCTCTCTCCTTTTTGGCACCTTTTCCCAACCAAGGAGGTGGGTTTTTTTCCTTGCAGGTAAGGAAGAGACATTTTGTTTCCATCCTGTCTGCTAGCTCCTTTCACATCTGTGTGCACCAATGCCAGAACTGCATGACCTTAGCCAGGGAAGGGCCTAGATGTGAAGTCCCTCACCTAGAGTAATGAGTCCCCAAAGTCCCCTCTTTCTGCCCTCAGGCTGGTGGTCTTATATGTTGTCCTGTGGGTGCCCATTTCTTGGCCCTTAGCCATCCCCTCTCCCATGGAGGGAGGGAAGGAGGTTGGATCTCTGGGTCTGCTTCATCATACTTGGAGCTTACTCAGATCCCATCAATGGGGGCAGGGGGAGCAGGGAGGAGAGGGTATTAGAGGCTTGGGTGTGTTTGGGAGTGTAGATGCTTCCAGTTTGTCCTGTTCCCTCTGCATGGCCCCGAAGGGGTTAATGGTGCTGGAACTGACCAGGCCTGGCTCTCTCTCTCCCTTCCGCCCCCTCCCCCTCTGGTCCCCTTCCTCTGGACTTCACATCCTGTGTTTAGGTTCCAACCCACATACCTCTCTAATCTGAGAAGAGCGTTTGCTGGGGCTGCACAGGCTTTCTTCCGGGCTACAGCCTGTTGGGCCCTCCAGTCTGGCTGTCCCCTGCCTGGAGAGCACCTGGGTCACTGCCCTCTGGATGTCCTGTCATTCCTGACACCCACCCCCCCTTCCCCCACCAGTCCCACAATGGGTGCTGATAGGGAACTCCTGTGCAGCGTGTGAGGAGCGTGTAGCCCCTCCAGCCTCCCACCTCCACTCCTGACACCGCAAGCAGGACTCTAGTGCCTTTCCTGCTTAGGATCTGAAGTGCTGTCCTTCCTGCGTGGCTCTTATTTGAATGACTCTAATGTTACCTTGATCTGGGCGCCCTCAGAGCAGAGCAGGAGCCCCTGTCCCCTTCCTCTCCCTGCCCTTTCCAGAGGAGGAGCTCCAAGCTGACATGGGATGAGGGAGGAGCAAGCTGAGATTCCAAATGGAGCAGCGGCAGGAACAGAACAGTTGTAACCGATGGCGGATTTCTGCGGGTGTGGGTACGGGAGGACAGCCACTGCAGCTCAGGCCAGACAGGGAACACCAGAGGATCACAAAGCATCCTTCTTGAAAGCGGGAGGACTCAGCCCTGCATGCATGTGGGCACAGTACGAGCTGGCAGCCTTGCCAGACTCCCTGTAGGACAGTGCTGGAGCCTGCTGACTCTGTCTCCGTGATGGTCGGTGCTCGTTTATAAGTTGCTAGCAGCTACCTTGGTCTTCTGGTCCCTGAGAGCCTGTGGGATCACACACTCCCTTCCCAGAGGTCCGAGGAAAAGGACTTGGTTTGTTTTGTTTTGTTTTGTTTTCAGGTCAGTTCTCGGTCCATGGGGGGGACCTGTGAGGCCCACCAGTATTGAAGGCCAGGGCCACCAGTCAGAGTTGGTCCCCTGAGCGGCCATAGAGGCCTCAGCAGGCCTGGCATTAGGTGGCCTCAGGATTAGGGACCACCTGTGTGCGTCTCCATGCTCTGACCCTGCTTTTCTGAGCTGAGGAACCAGATGCATTCTGTGCCCTTGTGGGTGGCCCTAGGGCTGTCACTGCTGATGCTCCCTTCAGAAGGGCCTCATCAGGGCCTGGGGAACCCCTTCTCCCCCTTGAGGCACTGGGCACTGGAAGGGTCTCCAGATCTGTGTGGCACAGTCCACTCTGCCCAGGACACTGGTGGGCTCTGGGCACAGCAAGCTGGGAGGAGGCCTGACCCAGGCTCCCTTCTGCTGCTGTCCTGAAGCCTTGCACTTCCTTTGCCCCAGTAGCCCCTCGCCTTCAGCCCAGCCCCTCTCCTGTCCTGTGGCCCTGGGGAAACTTGTTCTGGGTCCCTGCCCCCTCCTGCTGAGCTTCCCTTGAATGAAAGCTAGGAGCAGGCGGACCTCTGACCCTTTCTGGAATTCCAGGGCCCTGGGGGCCCCCTTTTACAAACTCCCACCACTTCCTTGATGACATAAGCACAATGGCAGCTGCCTTTGCCTCTGGCCTGGAGCTGCTGCTGTTTCTCCTCCCGCTGAGGGACCACCCCCTCCCGCCTGCTCCCCACTTTCTCTGCCCTAGGCCCAGGACCTGTTTGTGGCCTGGAGCTCTGCTCCCACACTGAGCTGTGGTCCCCATCCTTCTTCCATTGCAGGATGGAAGGGAGAGATTTCTCTCTTCCTGCTCACCTCCTGGGCCGCCTTTAGGCCTGACCATTCCCCCCACCTGACATACACACGATGGGTCAGGGTGGGTCAAGACCTCCTCGGCTCTATGCCTGGTTGTTGAGATGAGGGGCCCTGGGCCAGCCGTGGCACACTGTTGTCCCCCTAAGTTAAGCAGAGGTTGAGACCACAGTCTCAGAGCAGGCCTTGCCTTATCTGAAGCTGCAAATCATGTTCCCCCGCAGCCATCGTGGTGGCTTTCTGTGGTCAAAGGTATGAGAGAAGGCAGATCCTCACTTGCCCGGAGCTGCTGCCTGAGAGAGCTAGCCAGTGGCCGGTGCCTGTGTTAGGTGCAGCGGGACTGGTATGGGGGGGCTGGGAGCTGGGGCCCCTCTCCCTTTCCTGGTCCTGTGTGACGCTAAGCAGTGCCTGGGCCAGAGGTGTGTGGCCTGGGACCCGGCTGCCCGTGCACTGGGCCAGCTTCTGTGTAGGCCCTGCCAATCTCCCCATCTCCCCCAGGCACCCTGGGCTGAGGCTGGGCTGAGGCTGGGCTGGGCTGGGTTCAGGGAGTAGGGCCATCCCCCAGTCAGAGTTCTTGTCATCTGCCCCACACACAGGGCTGCTGGGAAGTGCCCTGGGGGTGGGGGCGCGTTAACTGGTTCCTTCTGTCTCACTGCGAAGTGCCAGGGTACCTTCTTCAGTCTAGAGAACTGAAAATTGCAGAAAAATGAGTCTTGAACTCTTTTCAAGCGTGGGTCCCAGTGTCCCCACACCTCTTCTCTAAGACCAGGGCCTGGGCTAGGGCCTCCCCTCTGATCTGGAGGGTTCTTTTCATCTCACATCCCCAACTCTCTGCCCGCTCCCCCCACCCCATGTGAAGTTGGGCTGCCTTTTCTTTTTCCCTTCCTTTCTCCTCCCTCATTATTTGGTGGGGTCTGATTGTCATGGAGTCGGGGTCTTTGGATGGGAGGGGGTGGTGGGAAACAGGTAGTAAGCCTGCCTTCCCCTGAAGGCCTGGAAGCTCCTCTGAGCTAGACACTTTCCGGGAACCATGCTGGGCTGAGGCTTTAGAGTTGTGCCCGGGTCTCTTGGAGGCCCGAGAGGCCAAATGGGCCCTAACAGGGGTGCAGGTGAGCCATCCTCACCTCTCTTCTCCCCTTCCCCTTCCCCTTCACAGTGCCTGGAGAAGTTTCCTGTGATCCAGCACTTCAAGTTTGGGAGCCTGCTGCCCATCCATCCAGTCACCTCATGCTAGGGACTGAGAAGCCAGGGCCACCCAGGCCACAATGCCTATGCCTACCCTCCCTTGCCCCAGCTCCAGTTATTTCCTGCCCCCTCCCTCTGTTCTTTCTGTTTGCTGAGAGGCTGTCTGCTGGGGTCGGTGGTGAGCTTGGGGTTGAGGGAGGCTCAGGGCATAAGGCTGAAGGAGCCAAAGTGAAGGGAGAAGTGACCAAAGTGGGGCCCGTTTCCCCTGGCTGGCGGATATGCTCGGGCCCCAGTCCTGCACTTGGCCTTCCTCTCCTCTCTCCTGTCTAGTCCCACCTGAGACCTGAGCTGGTCTGCACCCCTGGGAGGGGGAGGGTTTTGTGGTTTCCATTGCTTTCCTTTCCTGGGTCCTGTTGCCTTTTTAGGGGTTGGAGCAGTTGCTCCCGTGGGGCGGGTCAGTTTCCTAAGCCACGTGTGGGTGGGTATCTGGGGGTTCTCAAGTCTGGGATTGAGGCTGGTGGCCAGCCTGGGGTGGGATCGGGGACCGAGAAGCATTGGCTATTCTGGCCTGTGACCCTCCCAGCTTCTTTACATGGCTGCCCCCCCCCCCAGACCTGCTGGCCCCTGTGTCCAGTGCCTCATCCTGGCTTTTCTGTTCTTTGGCCTTTGGCTTTGCTGGGTTTCCTGGCCGTAGCCTCTCCTGTCCTCCTCTACAAGGGTAGCCTCTGGAAGCTGCCCTTTGGGTAGGCACTCAGTACAGGGCTTATCCTCTAGCTGATTGGGTGAGGCCTGCCTTTCCAAAGTTTCTCAGGCTGGCAGGGGGTGGCAGAGACTTGGGGCCCTGCTGTGGTTGTAGGGAACCTAGATTCCTCTAAAATCTTATGGTTCTGTTCCCCCCTCCACCCCCACCCTGGTGCTTGCTTCTCCAGGGCCCTTTACCCCTATTGCCCTGCTCTTCAGGGCAGTGGTTCAGGGGCCGCTGGAGCACTCAGCAAGCCCCTCCTTGTCTTCCCTTCTCCCTGAACTCACCCACTGGCTCTCTAAGATTAGGCAGTGATACCCCCCACCTCCCGCCCCGAAAATGGGCAGGGGCTGAGCTGGGGGTGGGGTTGCAGGTGTGCCAGTTCCTGAGTTTCCTTCTAGGGCTGCCTTTGGGCCAAGCTCTTGCCAGCTTTCCCTGGCCCAAACCCAGGCCTGCCCTCCTTCACTACCCCCACCCTCTATCTGGGTCCACATCCCCTTTGGGAAGGGGGAGCTCCCGAGAAGCACAATTCAGGGGCTTGACCCTCATACCTGGGCTGATGGCCTGGGCAGAAGCCAGGAGAGGAACCACTAGAATCACAGAAATCGTTTTCCTAGGAGAGGCCCAGTGCTGGCCTCCCTTGCAGGGTCCAGACCACCACCTTCTTGGCTTCTCTTGCCCTGCCCCCCCAGAGTCCCCCCAGCCCCATGCACCTTCATTGCTGTTTGGATTAAAGCCTCTGTTTTGCACCTGTCACTTGTGTGAGGTATGTCTTTTCATGCCATGTGTTTATTCCTCCTCCACATGCCTGTTTGTCTTTCCATCAGATCCCCTTCCCTCAGGCCATGGAGTCTGGGGCTGGGGCTGGCTCAGCTGCTGTCTGGGCTGAGCCTTTTCTGGGCAGCCAGTGACTACATAGCGGTTGCCTAGTTGCCTAAGCAGGCTTTGGTGCATCCTGACTGTCCCCACCCCCAACTATAAGAGTCTTGGGTAAGTTAGAGAATCTCTCTGAGCCTTGGCTTCCTCATCTGCAAAACGAGGACCATCACAGAGTGACTGACAGGAGTGAGTGAAGGATGTGAAGTCCTTGGCTTGGAGCCTGGCACAGAGAAAATACCCGTGGTCACCACGTGTCTTCTAGATGAAGGCAGCCCCTCTGGACTCCAGGCTTGACAGGGGAGTCTTTGGACTGGACTTAGCTGCAAGCCATGCACTACAGCTTTTAGGGCCATGCCTTTTTTTTTTCTTTTTTAGGATTTTATTTGACACAGAGTTCAAGCACAAGGAGGAAGGGCAGGGGCAGAGGGGCAGGGGCAGGGGCTCACCACTGAGCAGACAGCCTGATGTGAGGCTCGATCCCAGAATCCTGAGATCATGACTTGAGCCCAAGGCAGACTTAACAGACTGAGAGCCACCCAGGTGCCCCATGGGGCTCATTTATATTGTGTTTCCCCCACTCCTTCTGTCCCTGTCGTGCTAGAGTTGGCAGTCATGGGGCTGCAGTACCTGTGGCTTCTTGGACACTACCTGTTCCTGGGCTGTGTCTGCAGACAAGTATCCTCAGAAGATGAGCTCTTGGCCCTTTTCCTGGCCTCAGAGGCTTTGCCCAGGAGAGCCTGGTGGCCAGGAGCCCTGCCTCAAGTCAGGCCCACTGAGCCACCCTAAGGTCTGCTGCGCTGCTTACAGGCTAGGAGACCCTCAGGGTTGACTTCATCTCTGAGCCTGGCTTCCTAATTGGGAAAGTGAGCATAACTTGACTTTGGCCATAGGTTGTGAGGACCCAGTCATTTCACAATGGTTAGTGGCTGCGTATTATTCATTCTCATGCAAATGACAGCAGCCAACCCCAAAATACTGGAATGTTAGGTGTTGGTATTAGGAAGGAAATACCAGCAGTTAATTAGGGCGGCAGGCAGGGTTTGCTTGAGCGACAGGGTTGGGAAGGACACCTTAGAGGACCATGAGTCTTGGAGAGAGCTGGGGGCAGGGGGGCAGCCCAGCGCTGCAGGGGGGTCTGGAGGGCAGAGGCCTCAACAGGTCATTACCGCCAGCTTTGGGATTTAGTCTCTGAATGTCCTTTGGGAAGCTGCTGGAGGGTTTGGTGGTGACGAGGGCCTGGAGTATGTGGGGCCAGAGGGGAGGTGGGCACCATGTGGGTGGTGTGATTCTGGGATTGTGGCCTGGACTAGGGTTCAGTGAGGACGAGGTGAGAGGTGGTCCTATTTGGCTGTGTTGAGAGCTTACACTAACAGGAAGGTGTGAGAGAGCAAAGAGAAGCCCAGAGTAGCCCCAGTTCTTGGCTTGTGCAGCTGAATTGATGCCATTTACTGAGCTGGGGCAGATGTGGGAACAGGGATTTGTTGTTGGGGGTACCAACATGGGTACCCCCAACAGCAAATTTTTTTTTTCTTTTTTAAGAAAGAAAAGGGTACCTGTTTGCTTCTAAGAAGGGATGTGGAGTAGGCATCTGGGTCTGCTGAGCTAGAGCCAGGGATGGGGCTGGGCTGCTAGATTAGGGAGTGGTCAGTGAGCAGCAGGTCCCTGGGGTCACCAAGGCAGCAATGGGGATGAAGGTGAGAGGAGGGCTGGCAGACTGGCAGGAGAGGTGGGTGGAGGGAGACCCTAAGGTCAGAGTCCTGGACACGTGGCTAAGAGGATGGAATGGGCCCTGGGTCTTTGTGCCTTGCTCAGGACTGCTTCGGTGGAATGGGTGGCAGGGTGGCAGAGGGCTGGGGAGGGAATGGGAGTCAGACATGGAGGTACACATGCTTCCTGCATCCTCACAAGGTCCCATGAGGAGCTTATGGGAGCACAGAGGTGAGGTCCCTGGTCCAAGGCCAACAGTCTGGAAGAAGGCACGCAGAGCTGGGACAGTCTGGTTGCCGAGCCATCCTCTACCACAGCACCTCACCTCTCTCTTACAGAGCTCTGCTATAGAGGGAGCAGAGATGGGGAGGATGGGTGGGGGGCTCAAGGTCAAGGAAGGTTTGAAGGGGTTGGTGATCAGGCCCATTGTGTGCTGAGGAGGGAGGCTGATGGCAGTGAGGCCTGGAAAATGGGCCAGGCTGCTTGTCCCTGCTCAGTGGAGGGAAGGCAGACCCTTGCATCAACTTGGGCCTTGTGCATTGTTCTGGATTCACTTCTGCCAGGAAGTGTGAACAGGGCCACCGATCACCTGTGAAGTACAGGGAACAGTCAGACACTGAGCCCACGGGCAAGGGCTTCAGTGCAGGGTGGGAAGCCCGCCCAGGACCTGGGTATGGGACTGGCAGGCGCTCACACCTCCTGCCCATGCCACGCTCAGCAGAGGGTGGCCACATTGCTGTCACTCCCTGGGGGTCTAAAGTAACCCAGGTGGGGCTGGCTCCCAGAGCTGCAGGAGGGAGCGTCGGCTTCCCAGGCTTCCCACCGTCCTGGACTAGAGAGGCCCAGAGAACAAGTTGAGCTCCACACCTGTGTTCCCTGCTCAAGGGGGGACGAGGCTGGGCCCTGCTCCTTGGGGCAGGTGGGGGGTGGGAGCAAAGAGATCCTTCCTAGCAGAACCCCCGACAGGAGCTGGGCTTGGGAGGAGAGCAAAGGGGAGGGCTTGGTGTGCCCAAGACTTGCACCCAAGTCGAGTGACACGTTCTTTTTGAGTCTAACAAGCAGTAAGCATACATTATACACATGGCATTTGCAGGCATTTGGAGATGAAAAAGGTGAGAATCCTTCCTTTAAGAGACTTCTAACCTGCAGCGCCTGGCTGGCTCGGTCAGTGGAGCACGCAACTCTTGATCTCAGCGTTGTGAGTTTGAGCTCCACATTGCATGTAGAGATGACTTTAAAAAATCCTAAAAAAACAAAAACAAAAAAACCTCAAAACTTTCCAACCTAGAGGGGGAAATGGGGATCTTGGACCAGCTGTGGGGCAAGCAGGATGATGGGCTCTGGGGGGAAGCTTGGGGAAGGCTCTAGGGAGCAGGTGGCATTTGAGTGGGGCCTTGAATGATGGGCAGAGACAAAGGGCATTCTAGTGGGGGCCAGTTTTGAGCAGAGGTGTGGAGGTGTGGGTCACAGGAGGCAGGGCTGGAAAAGTAGATGGGGGGCTAGTCTGTAGAGGGCTCTGAGCGACCTCTGGAAGACTCCCATATCTACACATCCCGTTGACACGACAGAATTACATTGAATTATATGCAAAATGTATGCATTTCTTGTCTATCTTCCCTGTCAGCGGGCTGCAGGAAGACAGGGGCCCACTGGGTGCTGTACCCCAGTGCCCGCCAGACTGGCACACAGCAGGCACCAGTAAATAAATGTAGTATCAGTGGCCAGGAAAGATGTTTAATTGGTGCCTGTGTGTGTGTGTATGTGAGAGAGAGACAGACAGAGACAGAGACAAAAACACCCACTGGGTTTTAGGACCCCCTGTCAGCTGTCTGGGAGCAGGGTCAAAAGCTGGGTGCCAGTGACAGGGCTGGGGCCTTGGCCCAGGTAAGACATTTTGAAGGTTCAGTGCAGGGCAGAGAGCAGGCCCTGGGCTGGGAAGGGGGAGATTCAGGTAGGATTTGGTGCCAAGGGAAGGGGATGAGTTCTCAGCGGCCCTGGGTACTGCCCCTCTGTGCCTGGGGTGGGGCTGGCCATGCTCAGCTGTGGCTGCTGAGTTGGATGAGCTCTGTTGGGTAGATGTTTGGACCTGGCTGATGGCGAGGCGGGCAAGGCTGCTGAGACCCCAAGCCTGGTGGTGGGGGTGGGGAGAGCCCAGGCTGTAGGGACCTCCAGGAATCTTTGTCCCTGGGCTCTGCTAGTGCTCCAGCTCCCTTCCTTCCCTGCTGTCTGGGTCCCAGCTGCCCTGGCCTCTGTTCCGTTCCTCAGACTCCCTGGACCATGGAACCCAGAAGCCTGTTCCTGACTGGAAACCCCTGGTCATCTTTTCAGCGTGCCACCGAGGCCTCACCACTTCCTCTGAGAGTCCTCACCTGGCCCCTAGACCTCCCGTGTCCACGCGCCGGTCCCCCTCTCTGTTGGGACTCCTACACTCAGCACCTACCATTGCTGTTCCTTACATCCCTGTCCTGTGTCCTGCCACCCCCAGGAGGGTGTCGCACACTATGGGGCTTGGGGCATCTCTGAATGGCAGTGATGAGCTGGGGCCTTCCCTGTGGAGGAATGGTGGAGATGCAGAAGCGGGCTATGTCTCCCAGGAGAGCCCAGCGGGGAAGCTGGAGGGCCAGCACTGAAATTGGGGTATGTGGGGACCGCAGGGCAGTTTTGAGGGTGTGGGGGCTGAGGCAGAAGTGTGGGGGCTGGGAAGAGGTGAGGGAAGTGTGGGTAGAGCGGCTGGGGAGAGGGAGAAAGGAAAGCCCTGAGGAACCTGAAGGCAACTTGCCACTCAGGACCTGGAGTCCTCAAGGGGCCAGATGGGGCCCAAGAGGCCCAGGTCAGGGCCAAGCTGTCAGGTGCTCACTGGGGCTGGTGTTGGCTCGTTCACTTGGCAGACATCCCTGGAACCTTCTCTGCCCAAGCCTTGTGCTGGGTGCTCGGATGCTACAGTGAGTGAGACAGGTGGGCCCTTCCTCCTGGAGCCTATTCTAGCATGACTCATCCTAATGAAACATTCGAAATGCCCTGTGTGTCCAACAGTTGGGGATTATTAGAAGCAGGATGGAACGGTCGTACAATGAGCCATCAGAGGATGCGCTTTATTTATTTATTTATTTATTTATTTATTTATTTATTTATTCTTCTGCAAAGATGCTTAGGACTTTGTTGCTGAGCAG